GGATTAGTAAGGCTAATGAAAGCTGCCTTCCTGAGCAGCTCCTTTGGGTTTGTTGTTTGTTTTATTTAGCCAGAGTCCTTTTGCTCTTCCTAGTTGAGGTTGTATTATACAAGTATTATTATAATGGAGGGTGACATACGAAAGACATTGCACAAGAACATGTATAAATGCTATTTTTGGAGCAGCATTGACATGATTAATGATGCATGAACAAGGAAGCAGAGACAGCTTCTTCAGACTTCAGCACTATTTCAAGGAATGGGGGGAATGCGGTATAAATTTGTATTGTGTTTGCAGTGTTATTGTAGGGTGGTAAGAATAACAGAGAAGAAGCAGGAAGTGTTGTCTCTCTTATAAGTATTGACCTGGAGAATCCTGTTTAATATTAGGCAGTTTGATACCTAACCTTTACCAGTGGAGTTTTATTGCCAACAAACATAATAATTTCGCTGTGACTTGTCATTATGAAGGATGTTTCCAGATTGCTTCTGGTGCGGTCCACTGCCAAAACTTTATTTTTTTTAATTGCAGCAGATACAAAGAGAGGTGATCTAGCAAAACATCTGTTTCTATTCAAAGTTACTTGGAAGTGAAACGTTGTCATTAATTGTTTCTATGCACTTTTGTTTTTGATGTGCATATTTATATTTTATTTTATACTACCACCCATTCTCTATTACCTCATGCAGAATGAATAAAAATGGATGACTTCTTTTTTAAATGGATTTTTGTTTGAAGTATGTCTTTTAGTTTTTAAATAATTTTAGCAATAAATTGGTGACCTACTTTTAAGGTCTAAACCAAGTATAATCTAACATTATATTTTAAATTTAATGAACCTTTCTCAGTATGAAATGTTAACTAAAAAAACTTGACATTTTGTTACAATTTTCAAATTGCTACTAAACTATAGGGGTAGAGGCAGTTGTAATGATCAGTGCAGACAGTCTAGTGGTGCTGTGTTTTTACTTTCTGTGTTTCTGATTGTGGGAGGGTCAGCTAAAAGATAGTTAAGTTTTACCTGTGTGTGATTTTAAATTCTTAGATTTCTATGAAAGTAGTATAATAGGTATGAATTCCCAGTTGTTTTCTACAGATATAGGGACAAAGGATATTCAGTGAAAATACTTTCCACTGCTACATGGATGAAGATTGCCATTTCTTTCAGCAGAAATAAGATCAGACTGAGCATTTCACTGTTTCTATTTGGGTGCTTCCAGAAATCTGGCATGATGCGCCAAAAGCTGGCACGTGCATCTTATTAAATAAAGTATGCTCCACAGGAGTTTTATCATCGCAGATCTAGTGCTCGGCCCCCAGTTGGCCTTGAAACCTGAATCATAGTTCTAGGCAAGGCCTGTTTGTCGTTTACATGTTTTTCTACAATATCAGCATGTGTCCAATGGCCTGTATTAAGGGACTGATTTTTGTAAAGATCTTCAACCAAAAGCATATGCGATGGGACTTGTGCGGGCCGGGAGCGACCCGAGCCCTTTTTGCGCTGCACGCAGGCTGTGGCCAGCAGCCCGGGCACGCCAGGGCGGAGAGGGAAGGCCTTCGAGCTGGAATTAGGCACGGACGCGTAGCGGTAGTTTAAAAGATTGTTTACTTACACCGAGATGGCAGTGGTGTAGGCTGGAAAGCTTGATTAAGTTGCAGTTACAGACAAACAACACAGACGGTCTCGTGGAGGTTGCTAGGCTCCACGGTGCAGAGCTCCGGATGCTCTGGGTGAACGAGCCACCAAAATAGGAATCGTAAATACGTCTTATAAAAGTTGCGTTCGAAGACGGGAAGAGGTGGGCGGTGGATCAGGCTGCCACGCTCCTCTGGATCTCACACAGGGTTTCTATTACCCTGCCGTGTA